TCTTTCTCAAAAATAAATAAACATTTCAATGGAGTGTCTGGAGATTAGGAGATGATTCCAGATTACACAAGGGAGCCCGGTGCAACCACAGGATTGTGGTGAAAGGAGGTATGAGAGTCACAGAAGTGGCCATGGAAGCAAAGACTGGAGCCATGTGCTTGGCAGACACAGGAAGGGGCTATGAGCCAAGGAATGTGGGTGACCTCTAGAAGCTGAAACAGGCAAGCCAAAGAATTCCCCTCTACACCTTCACAAAGGAATGCGATCTTACCAACACCTCCATGGTAACTCCTTAGACCCATTTTGAGTTCTGACTTCCAGAAGTGTAAGCTAACAAATCTCGGGGTGTTTTTTAAGCAACTAAGATTGTGTTAATTCGATAGAGCAGCCACAGGAAACAAATACAAGACTAATAAAACCTAACTGAGGTAGCCTTAACCTTCCTTTGTCACACTGTGAAAATCTGACTGAGATTTTACCTGGGAACTTAAACTACATTTGCCCTAGTAGAACGTAGTTTCCAGAGTTAAAGGAGTAATTATTTTATCTCTAAGATGCTCAGTTTGGATTCGTAATCAAATCAATACTTAATCTCCTTCTATGTGACAAGTGATAAGATGGAGTCAGCTACCAGACGGTCAAGATCATCGAAGCATAATGGTTAAAACAATGTAGGGGTAAAATCCAGGCACAATGACCACCGGAACATAACAGAGAGCCCAGAAACCCTCACACCCAGGAGCACTTAGATGGGGGCAGAGGTGGCATAAGAGACCTGCAAGGAGGGGTGCCTGAGGGGCTCCGTCGGTGAAGCGTCCGACTTCAGCTCAGATCATGATCTCACAGTTCGTGAGTTCGAGCCCCACGTCAGGCTCTGTGCTGACAACTCCGAGCCTGGAGCCTGCTTCGGATTCCGTGTCTCCCTCTCTCTCTGCCCCTCCCCTGCTCATGCCCTGTCTCTCTCTCTCTCTCTCTCTCAAAAAAAATAAATAAAAACATTAAAAAAAAAATTTTTTTAAGAGACCTGCAGGGAAAATATGATGCTGTCTGTAAATGATGCTTGGAAAGCTGGGTAGCCACATGGAAAACGAATGAAATTAAAGCTCCCCCACCCCAAGGATTAAAAACGGAAAGGTGAAAAACAAAACACAAACTCTTAGAAAACAGCATAAGTAAATATCATCATGACCTGGGATTAGAGAGGACATTTTTAAAATAAGACAGAAAAAAGAAAAGACGTAAAGTAACAGATGGGTACGTGCAACTGTCTTAAAAGCAAGGAGTTCGGTTTATAAAGGTGACTACATGAAAAGCAAAACTACAAGTCACAGAACTGAAAATGATATGAATCTAAAATCGACCAAGTGCTAGGATCCAGAATACATAAATCCACATTTGTCTAGTTAATTTAATTAATCAATATTTATTCAAATCGATAACAAAAATGGGAAAACGATCTAGAGATTGGACAAAGGCCTTGATCAGAAACTTTACAAATGAGAAAAGCCAACTGACAAGCTGGTACCACACAGATCATCCCTACGTGACCGCACGTCTTCCAACTCAGGGGTCTCTTCTGTCGCCCTGCTGTGAGGGCAGCCCAACCAGAATGAAACACCTATCTGTGGGTTGCCCTATTTCCCTTTGAAGCCACAGGTCCCTGTGCCTTTAGCTCAGGGTGGCCTATAAATCTCAACTGACAGGGCACCTGGGTGCCTCAGTCGGTTGAGCATCCGACTCTTGATTTTGGGTCGGGTCACAGTTCGTGAGATCGAGTACCACATCAGGCTCTGTGTTGAGGGCGAAGCCTGCTTGGGATTCTCTCTCTCCCTCTCTCTCAAGGTAAATGAATAAGTACTTGAATGAATGAATGCATGAATGCATGAATCAATCAATCAATCAATCAATCAATCAACCAATCTCAACTGACAGACTTATCCCTGGGTCTCATACTCTGATGGGGCTCCCACACATACATAATTAAGTTTGTTTTTCTCCTGTTAATTTGTTTCTATAGCAATTTACAGCCAAAGAACCTCCAAGGGTAGAGGAAAATGGGTTCCTCCCCAGTAGCTTTTTCCACTAAGCCTTAAGCCCTTGAGATCCACGCAAGCTGTCATCTGGATCACCAACCTCCCTTTTTATCACCCAGCAGGAATCCATGCATGGGTGTATGAAAACATTTCACATCCACCCATTGAAGATACAAGTGGTTTCTAATTTAGGGCTATTGCAAATAAAGCTGTCATGAACTTCCATGTACCAGGTTGTTTTGCCCCCGCCCCTGGCAGTTTTGTGTTATTCTGTATTTCCTGCAGTCCACCTTAAAATGACATTTTTTAAGACACAAAAGTGCTGCTATGCTATCTGGGAGCCTAATAACCTTTTGAATAGTCACAAAGGAATCCCACGGTATTGCTATTATCATTTGCCAGGTTGCTTCAAGGTTCAAAAGTATTGCACCATAGCTCCCGTTGTTTCTGAAATCTGACTTCTGGGTTCTGTAGCCGAGGATTTACCCCACCAAGAGACTCCAGTGTTTGCTGAATAAATGCTGGTATCCCCGTCCTGTGGCTCCGGCCATGGGATTTGTGTTTCCACTGACACGCAGAGCTGTTCGCTTGGTTCCTGAAAAACCTCCAGCCTTTCCTAAACCTCACGGCGGGATAAACCCTGGGATGAGGCTAAGAGTTCCCCATTACCGATGTCCCTAAGACCTGACTGCGCCTACAAATCCTGCATGGCGCTGGGGATTCTCATAGGACTCTGGATTTGTTTGAGCAAAGTTGGGAGCTGTTGCCTCCTTGGTTCTTTGAGGATTAACAGATTATTCACCACCACCTGTGAAAGCTCCGAGTCCTGCCTTAGAGACTACATGGTTCTCATACGGGGTGTAGCCACATTCTGCACAACCTCGACTTTTCAGTCAATCACGAGCTGCAACAAGCCGATTTCCGGGAGGGCGGGGGGGGGGGGGGGGGCAGGCTAAACATACTTAGCTCTCACTCCAGGCTCCAGGGTTGGTGCACTGGCGCCCCGCGCAGTTCTACAGACAGGCTGCTGCCCACACTGCGGCTAGTGCTGCTGCATGAACTCTGGAACTGCTGTGGAACCCAGGTTTGGGGTACCGGTACCGACCTCCATTTCCAGCACAGAAAGGATGACGGTCTTTACTGGAGGATGTATTGCTCAGTAAAGAAATAAACGCACTGCCACCTTCACTGCTCCCACGCACGACTCCGCACGCCTTCATGAACCTCAGGGTGCGCATGCCCTATCAAACGCAGGAACCCAGTTCGCTTCCTGTCATTTCAGAATGAAATGTGAAAACCCACGCCTGGGTTCCGGGTAGGTCCGACATCAACTGCTGCTGGCATCTAGCCAGCTGCTCTGTAGATTTCCCAAATCCCGAGTGGTCAATTTCGGGATTGGAAGTAAATTGCCGCTACTACTTCGTAGACCGGGTAAATACACCAGCCCAAGGCGGCCGTATGAACCCTTCACTCCACATGGTCGAAGGCAGGAAGGAAAAGCCAAGACCTGTCAAACACCCTCCGCTGGAGGATGCAGTGCCAAGAGGCCTCAAAGGGCGCACTCGGCCTAATCAAGGTAAGGATCCCGAAGTTTCTCGTGTTCAGGTGGAGGCCAGAATAGGAAGCTGGAGAGTCAGCTCCCGCGACAGGTACCAATGCTACTCAAATCTTGGCAAATGCCGCCGCCCCTAGAGGTCCTCCCGCAGGGCGGGGGGGGGGGGGGGAGGAGTGGAGAGATAGGAGAGGTAGTACTGCGCGGACACTACTGCCCAGGATACAGCTCTTTAAATTGAAACGAGAGGTGGCTCTGAAAAGAGCCTTTGGGTTTAAGGTCGGCGGTCCTTCGTTAAGAACTTAGGCCCTCTCGCCGCGGATGCGGCGCGCCAGCTGGATGTCCTTGGGCATGAT